CCTTGACCACCTTGGTCCATGCCCCTGACTGGACAGAATGGGGGGTCCCCGAGTCCTCCCTTGTCCTGGAGAGAGACCGTGGTCTACCCTCCACCTCCTGGGGCAGAAGGGCCTGGCAGTAGGAGTCAAGCTCTTGCTCACAGTCCCTGATGGCATGCAGTCTCTGGACTGTGGCTTGGAGCTCCTCCAGCTGTCACGCAAAAGGGAGCAGACCTCACAAAGGGGGTAGCCATGCTTCCGGCCGCAGAGCCTGAAAAAGGGACAGGCAGCCCGCGCAGCCGAGAGTCAGGGGCTCCGTCTGCGTGGAGCCCGGGAGCATGGGCTCCGTCTGGGTGGCCGTCTCTGAGGTGCTGGGCAGGGGCCGCAGAGCCTAAGGGGACCCTTGGGGTGTGGCACGTGCCCATCCACGTCATGCCGCTGGTAGGCTGGGTACGACTGGGACTGTCTACTCTGGGGGGCTCACAGGCAGGGCCTCGGGCCCTCCTGCTCACCCTCCTGCGCAAACTCCACGCTAACTCACACACCAGCAGACAAGCACGCCTGTTTCCACAGCCTGTTCACGCGGCTCCAGTTGCATGGCTCCCTGGGGGGCTGGGCGAAGTAGGGGCCTGGGCGGGGTGAGACCCGGCCCGGCTCCCCCTCAGCAGCCTCCTCCCACTCACTAAGGGTTAACCCCCTCCCACCATGGGCCCTGCTTACCTCCGGCTGTGCTGGGGGCCAGCAAGGGGCTCTGCGGCTGTTGGGGGGTCTCTTGGGGGCTTCGGGGGAGCAGGGACGCAGCGGGCTTTCACCCGCGTGTCTCTGACCGCTCCCAGAGCCTAACTCAAGGCTTGGGGTTTGTTCATTCCCTCCTACACCTTGAGGCTTGAATGAGCTTTGCTGCTGAAGAAAATGAGTGAGAGGATGGATAATGCAGCTTCCTGACCATAGAAAACTTTTCATAAGGGTAACCTTGAAAGGACTCAAGTGACCAAGCAGCGCTAAAACTGCTCTCCAGCTATCCTGTTAACCCGTGGGGTCTTGCAAAGGAAGAACAACCAGTCTGTCCCAAAATGTAAAACCCAACATGCATCAGCCCTATAGTCAGTGAAATGAGGTCAAAAGAGAACTAAAAGGCCCTGTCATATTCATTAAGCCCCTCTTCAGTTAAGACTACTGGGTGTTTCAGAAACCACAAATATGCTGTGCTGGCCAAAAGGCAGTCTCAAAGGGGACTGAAGCCAAGCGTTAGTGGTTGGGTTCATTGCAAGAGGAAAAGTTTTTTATGTTGCTTTATTGGCAAATTTTCAGCAACAGAAAGCCTTTGTTTAGACCACCTCCCTGTCTTGGTCCCTAATTCTCCATATTCCAAGTGCTGTAACTCCTCTTTTATATCCTGGCTAGAGCAAACAGAATCATCTTGCTGGTGTGAGTCCGCACTAGGGAGGCTTGTAAAGAATCTCCTTGAAGCTGCCTCCTAGGTCAAGAGTGGTCTTCAAGGATTAGTTCCTTGGTTATTCCATTGCTTAATGCCCTCACTTCTGTTATCCCTTCTGGCCACAGCTCTACACAGAGATCCCTGGAGCAGGTTGGCTGAGAACAGAGTAAGGTTGTGCAGCTCCTGCCTGCCTCCATGGTATACTTGGCCCAGGATGTTCAGGCCATGGCTTGTGATCAGCTCAGGTGGTGCTTTTGGACTGCAAACCAGCTTCTTACTGAGTCTTTGTGCTGAGGTTTTAAATGGTTCCCTAGTAACAAGAAGATGCAAAGCCTCTGATGGGAGGGAAGTTCTGACTCTCTGGTGTGTGTGTGTTACCCAGAACTGAATGCTGAGATGACAGTAATTCTAACGCAACGTAATTGCACTGATCAAGCACAAATAAACTCAGCCTTCTTTTGTTTGAAAGAGCTGCCTTTCCCCTTCTGCCTACTGAAGGAACAACTGGCACAGCATTAGCAGCCTCTTGGCCCTGTGTCTAGCTGTAAGTGTTTTTAAGGCTCATGTCACCCTAGTAGCCAGGTGTGGAAAATTAAAGTTGATGCTTTCGAACAAGTTTGTGCCTGAATTAGGCATCTACTAAGTGGCGGGTTCTCAGTACCAATGAAAATTAGGCCATTTGTTTGAAAAGCCTAATCATCAGACTGTTTTTCAGTAATGGTAAGATTGCATCTCTTCGCCATGCAGGTGGCCCTGGAGCTCCTCCTTTCTACAATCTGATAAATGCTTACAAAGACGTTGGAGGGCAGGGGGGCTAGGAACCTGCCTAGTGTACTGGTGAATCTGTGTGTAATGTGGACATTGGTGGCAGGGAGGGGGCATTTCTAGAGGGATTTCAAGAAAAAAAGTATCTGGAGTTTGAAAAGTGCTGGACAGCCCTTTCATATTCCTTCCAGGTGCAGCATAGTACTGGGGGACCTCACTCTTAAAAACTGGTTTAGGAACAATGGTATTAAGTGATGGATAGGACAGGATAATGTCAGCTTACTGCCATAGGATGCAGCAGAAGGGGAGTTCCCCCGGTGAAGGGGGCATGCCCTTTGAGCAACAGGAGGGTATTGGCACTCCCTGAATGTCCTGCAGATGATTTGCAGGCAGGTGCCCTACTTGCTTAGCCTCTCAGGAAGGAGCCAGGGTTCTGTTTAGTATTGAATCATGTCTGCTGTTGGGAACATGTGTTACTGATTGAGCATGGAAGGGTCATCAGTTGATGAAATTGACTGAGTCTGGATCATTAAATACATCAATTGCACTAAATTATCTGGAGATTATTTTCTCTGAACACAGGAGCACAGTAGATCAGGAAGGACTGCTCTGCAGTGTTATCTGGAGTTCTGTTAGTAAACAGTAAACTGCATTTAGTTGAACCTACCTGGCTCACTTGACATCAGGGAGGAAGCTACATGGATGAAAGTGAAGGCCATGTTTGGCCCATAGCCATAGTCACTAATTAGAAATTAGATGTGACTTGTCCATAAATCAGGCAAGATCTAGGCTGTTGGTCTATACATTTCTAGGACCCTGAAGTTACAAGCTCTGCTCTCGCAGGCTTTCCTTGGTTGAAGGTCATTTTAATGTGATCTTTCTGTATGGGGGTGGGGGACAGCACCCACCTTTTGGTTTTTTGATGAGTTGGTAGCAACTGCAAAACACAGGACTGGTTGTAAAATGGCATTTAGACACCTAGATTCCCACTGATTTCGAGACTTAGGTCCCTTAATTCCAATGTGCATCTGGCTTTTCCTGTCTTCTTGTAGCACAGTGCATTTCTAGGAGCTAAAAACAGAATGGACTGTTCTTAGCTGTTTCTCTGCTGTCCAGTGCACCAGATGTGTTGGGTAAAATGCGCTCTATTGCATTGCCTCACCCACCAGGTACATCATAACGGCCCTCTTGGCTTTCAGTACCATTTGGCAATGTAAAAAGCTGCCTCAGTATGACTGCTGTGGTCAAGAATCAGCAGCAGGAAAGGGATGGGGAACCTCTGTGTGTAGGTAGCAGGGCAGATTAACACTTCTTTTCCTTTCCAGGATTGTCAGTTTAAAAGTCATCGAGGCATGTATACACAATCCAGACATTGCGGCACAACGCAGAAGGCTAAAAGCCACAACGTGACACATGTTGCTTTAATATGCAGTTACAGCATGTATCAAACCCACCCACGCCGCCTTCCAAATGCTCTCTCTCTCACCCTATCCCCAGTCTCATTGGTCTGAGAGCTATTTCAGACAGCAAACCTTATGGATGGTTCTTGAATATTAGCATTGCCAGCCTTGTCCTTTCTAGCATGGTGTCCTTCATAACACTATGCTGAAGCCATGGAAATGGCATCTAATGTGTTTATTGTGTAGTAACTCTGGGAAGTGAAAGCCACACAGGTCTTCTCTTTATTTTGTGTCAGAGCATATGAGGGGAGTAACACTTCTGCCTCTGTTAAGTTTTGAGGCAAGTTGTGCTTGTTTCTGCTGTGGCACCTTGGCCTGACTTTGAAGCCATGTGGATGCAGGTTCTCCTTCATGGCAACAGAAGAACATTAGTGACTGACATGTACAGAGGTACTGTTTATGGCAGGGGTGGGCAATTATTTGGGCTGAAGGGCTACTTAAGGAGTTTTGGTGAGTTCTTGAGGGTTGGGAGTGGGGTGCAACTGATCTTATCCAGCACACCAGGAGCCTGAGGAGGGTGCCACGACTGCATAGCTTCAGCACCAGTAGGAAGCTAGGTGGTGTTGAGGCAGGGTGAGAAGGGAGGGTGCAGATGAGTCTGTGCTGTGCAGCCTGGCCTTGGCTGTGGCAGAGTGAAATGGCGTGGGGTGCAGCCTTCTCTCCTAGGCTCCTGGCAGTAGCTGGTGGGCCGAATAGGATCAATTGGCAGGCCCAATATGGCCAGTGGGCTGCATTTTGCCCACCCCTAGTTTATGGGCTCAGGCGTATCTGAGTGAAATGCTCCCTTGTGCACACACTTGTGGGGGGTTTGATTAGCTGATGTGCTGTGGAGGCCTCTGCAAACTACCAGGGCTGTGGAAGGGATTGCTATGCTAATACCTCATGAAATGATCTCCAGATGGGGAGGGGCATGCTTCAAGGACTGATTTATATCTTTATGCAGATCCTAGATCCAGGCATAATGCACAAATAGGGCCTAATGTACAGACATTCAGAATTCATGCCAAGGCTCTTTGGGCTTCAATAAGATTTGGATCAAGCCCATAGCATGGAGGGGTTGGTGTGGTTAGTCTAGTCCTGCAGAACTGTGCTATGGCTTTATATAGGAGTTGCCACCCTTGTAAAGCTTAGCTGTTCACTTTCACAGGATCTGCTTATGGGCTGAATACTTAGGCCAGGCACAGTAGGCACAAGTATACAAGCATCCTGAATACTACATGCTTATTTTGGACCTTAATTCTGTAGCTGATTAATAGTTGCTATATGGAAGAAGTACAGAGGTAAGCCAGTGATAGAGTGAGGAAAACGGTATATGTACCTGAGTGGCCTGAATGCTCTAACACCTCCTCTCCTCACAGATTGACAGAACAGAGACAGCTGTGAATAACCTCAACCCTGCCTTTTCCAAGAAGTTTGTTGTTGACTACCACTTTGAAGAAGTCCAGAAGCTAAAGTTTGCCCTGTTTGACCAGGATAAGTCCAGCATGCAACTGTATGAGCACGACTTCCTGGGGGAATTCTCCTGTACCTTGGGCATGGTGAGTCTCTAGTGAGCTGGGTGCCAGCAGCTAATGGGGATTCATGGGTGTTTGTCTAGTGGGACTCCAGAGGCATGCCAGACACATGAGAAACTGGTAAGGCTGCCTTTAGTTAAGCTTGTCTGGCACAGAACTTTCCATTAGAAGATTGCATTTTAACGGCAGGCTGAAATGACCCACATGTGGTATCTGCCTTGGGCTGAATTCTTCTGGAAAAGTTCACGAAAAATGCTTCTGCTGTTTCTGAGAATAGGGGGAGAGGCCTTGTTCTGTCTATATGAACAAAAAATTCATGCAGTGGTTCAGATGCCCATGGACTGGAGCATCTGAAATTTGGCAGGTGGAGATGCCTGTCCCGTATCTTGTTCTATATCTGAGGAATAAAAATGGGTAAACCTGGCCAAGTTTGATAAGCTTTGGAAAAGTCTCCATTTATATAAACTCAGACTTGTAAGAATTTGGCAGCTAAATTTTCCTGAGATTTTGTCTACAGTAACTGTGCCTCAGCTTCTGGATGCAAAAGCTCAGCAGGACATTCCTTTTGGCTGCAGCACCCATCTGCTCTGGTGTGTTGTGGCACGAGAATGGAAGGCAGAGAAGCTTTCCCTCTCATTTTTTTTCAGGGCTATTATTTCTGGCAACCCAGAGGAAACCATTAGATTGAAATGCAGAAGAGACAGAAGCATGGTGAGGGATCTGGGGAGGGTGTAGAGTTACAAAGTGACTTTTTTTAAGGAGAATCACATATTTCATCATGTGATTATGAATACCTTTGCATAAAGAATACATACAAGAGGTCTGACCTTGGGTTGCCTGTGCCACTACAGTTCTGACCTTTCTTAACTCCTGAGTTTGACTTTGCAACTGCCAACATTCTCCTTGCACATATTTTTGGGACATTGTATACCCAGGGTGTGATTTTTCCCGCCCCCTCCCAAAAAAAAAAAAAAGGCTCAGCCTTGGCCTAATTTTGTCTTGTTGAAGTCACTTGACACTAGTGGAATAGAGTTGGGTCAGTGTGTAGAGCTTCTGAAAATCCTACTTTTAGAATCAATTCATGTACCCCTGCAATTCACCTGCCTCTGGTGTGGAACAGGGCAGCAGTTCAGTGCACTTGGGACAACATGTGAAGGTGACTTTATCCATTGCAAGTGGAGAGATGAATTTTATAGACTAGGGATTGGCTATCCACAGCGCTCAGGCTAGGTTCAGCCTTCTAAGAGCTTGGATCTGGTCTGCAAATGTCTGATTCTGGGGCACAGGGAGGGCTCAGATTTAAAGGAGCCATGTTAAGACAGGCATTTGCAACCTCCTGCTTTTTGCCCTCACCACTGAATTTGCCGTTTGATGTTGGTGTTCACCATGGCTTTGTGGCACCTAGTAAGCAGAGCGGGGGGCACAGGGAAGGGAGTGGATTGGAACAGCAGGGGATCAGAGGTGGGGGGTGGGGAGCCCTTTTCTGCAGCCAGGTCACAAGCACCCAGCCCATCACTGTATGAGGTTGCTAACCTGTTATAGATGGACTGGAATTGAGCTGAATCCTGACTAGGACACTCTGGCTAAGGTTCCTGATAGGGTGGGGAGGGGTTTGGTTCTAGGAGATCATTTGACAAGCAGCCCTGTCTTTAAGCTTCATCAAAGAAGTGGCACCTCCAGCAGCAGCAGTGCCCCATAACATGCCGGGGGTAGGCTCCCTTATTGACTGAGTGGGAACAGGGGCTCCCTTTTGAACAGCTGTCACACACCCCACTGAACTCAGGTTTGTGCTGAAGGTCACCCAACCAAACCAGACCCCCTGCTGAGGCTGTGAAATATAGTGAAGTCAAAGCATGAGACTGGAATGGCTGCAGCCTGCTGCTGGACTGGTGGCATGAATTGGAGAGAACCCAAATTCAAGTGACCTACTTGTTAAATGAGATCCTGGCTTTGACAATGATTTGTTTGTACCTGGGCTGAAAACTCCTCTGCTGCTTGGTGGCTGATATCCCAGATTCTCATCTACGAACCATGCACAGGCTAAAGGAGGGTGCCGTGTGTGTGTGTGACTGCAAGTAGATCAGCCCATTCTTGTGATCACGCCTGCAGTGTCACCCCTTGGAAAAGGACCCGGGCTGGTGAGAAGGCTGGGGAGCCCAACTCTGGTAGGGTATCATACCCCTGACTGTAGCAAAGCCTGCCTGGTCTTTGGCCCCTCAGTCTTTCCAAGTGTCCCCTCTAGTCAGCCCACTGCATATAAAGTTGAACTCCTCGGAGAGCAAATGTCTGTTAACTGACATGTTATTGCTACAATATTTCTGCACATAGTGATTCTACAGTTTATCTCCCGGGTCTGTTAGTGGAGGGGCTCTAATAGTCTGTTCTATAGTAATTTAAACGGAAGGTATGAGTAGAAATCTTGGGTCTGTACAAACCTTCCCTGTCTGGAAGCATCCTCATTTGGTGCTGCCCCTGGGCTTGTTGGGAGGGGAGTGATGATGGTTTTCCAGAAGTCAGCAGATTAGTGGAGCTGTGGCCCCACCAACTCTTCTTCCCAGGTCAGCACCAGTTAGTGCTTCCACTGGTTACATGGCCATGTATTTCAGGCCTCTGTATGTTGTCTTTGTAACTGACAAGGAGGAGCCGGGGCCTTTGCCCTGTTCTTGGGGCTGTTTTACAGGAGAAGCCTGACCCCTGCCATCCTGGGGACTCAGGTAGAGACTTTAAGTGGTGCAAGCTGGATTGGGCACCCAGCTGCTCAACTTCTGTAAGCTTGTGAGAACTTTGGAGATTCTGCAAAAGCTTCTTCAAAAGAAGAAGTCCTGTAGATAAAGCAGCACAAACTACTTAGCGCTTCAGCTAATGGTCTGATTAACTTGTGCCAGTGATGCTCAAGCTTTCCCTTAAAGGATCTCCCTCTCATCTAATCCAAAAGAAAGAGCTGTGCCCAACAAGCTGGGAACTCATGTCTGATGTCAACTAACATCTCCCTTGGCCCTGTGCACTTCTGCTCTTGGTAGGTGAACACAGAATCAAACTGCTTCCCAGGATCCCTTGCACAAGAATAATTGGTTTTCTGTGGATTTCACTGCGGACAATGTGTTGTTTAGCAGAAGCACAGAAACAGAATCTTACAATACAGCATAATCATAGGGCCAAATTGGAAAGGTAGCTTTTTCTTTGGTATAATTAACTGGAGTAGGTGCTGAGAGGATGAGTTAGCATAAGGTTCAGGCAAGCAGTGGGGTTTTAGCTTGGTTTTGATCGTTGCTTTTGTCTTTGCATGATTTTTATCAAATCTGTCCAGTTTTTGAGGCTTGGACAGTTGTAACAAGGGAAAAGAAATCACCGTGAGTACAAATAATTTTGCTCTGAAGAACCACTGGAAGAATGGCAGACTTTTCCTCCTTCTAAGTGTGTGTGTGTGTGTGTGTGTGTGTGTGTGTGTGTGTGTACACCTGCATGTATGTCAACTCCATCAGATTAGTTGGAGTATTTTTATTGCTCCTTGTTAATTCCCTGCCTGGGTTTAAAGGGAAGGCTGGATCACTCCATGACTCCTAACAACTTTTGTAGCTGTTTGAACTACAGTGATTTGGAGTGATCCACACCTATGCCTCAGGGCAGAAGCAAAGAGCCTGACACAGTCAGAAAGCAGTAACTGCTCTCTTGGGCAGCACTGCACAAACATCTAATTCTCTGAGTTGTGGTCTTGTCACTCTGATGTGATAGCTACTGGCTGTTTCTGGAATACAGGCTCCAAACCTTCTGCTCTTATCCTGGATGCACAATCCTGTATACCTTTGCTATGAAGGGAACTAGCTGTTGGCTTGAAGAGGTATCTGATAAGAAAGGGGGAAGAGAAAAAACATTTTCTCATGAGATCAGATTGGGGGAGTGCAATGGGGAGGATCCAGATGGATCTGTAGCACCACCTCTATAATATGTCTGTAAAATACTCTAGCCTCCCTCCCTTGCAAGGATGGGAACTGGAAGCTTCAAAAAGCATTGTAATTAAATTAATAATTGGCAGCTTTCTTGTCAGTGGTGCTGGTGTTTGTGTTTATGCTGCATTGGATGGTGATGATTTTTGCCTTATGGCAGCTAGGAAAATTGCATTTTGCATAACTGGACCCCAAGCAAGGTTCAGAAGGTGATCTGCATTGTTTACTGTTCATTTCTCTTCTTTAAAAGCCTAAAAGGAGCCATTTGGAAACTGTAATAAACTTTTAAAAAGTGGCCCTGAATATCGTGGGAATTGAATGTGCTCAGTACTTAACAGGATTTAGCATTAGGAAATTAAGAAAATTAATTACTGGTTGACAAGCAGATTATTAGATAAAGAAATAGTATTGTGCTCTAGGAAGGTGTTTAAAATGAGGGACCAATTAAAAAAATCTGGCTCTACCCTCCGCTGTTATAAGTCACCGTTGCTGCACTGGCTTCAGTCAGTCACAACCATTCTATCTGCTGAGGATCTGGCCCATAGTTCAGTCTTGAATACAGTGTGTTTCTCCTTTTCCCAAACTGTTGGGTGGTGTTACTGTTTTTTGTGTACCAGCTGCAGCGTTCTGACAGACAGCTGCATTTTGAAGGTGGCAGAACTTGTTTCCTGTATGTATAGTTTAGGACCTGATCCTGTGAAATGCTGAACCCCCTTGATTTATGTTCCCACTAATGCTTTGCAGTAAATAAAAGAAAAGCCTGTGCTCTAAACAGTTTTAGTGACTGAGGATTTACTGTAACTGTATACTGGTGATGACAGTGGCAATAACAAAATTCTTGATCTTGGTGTTTTTGAAAGACACAATTATTGCGAATATTTAGCCTGGATTTGCTAACTTAGGTAGCGATCAATTTCTCATGGCCTTGCTTTTGATTATTTACATTTCTGTGTTTTCTGGCTTCCTTAGATTGTCTCCAGCAAGAAGATAACAAGAACTCTGCTTCTGGGAAATGGGAAGCCAGCCGGAAAAGGCGTAATAATGGTATGGTTACTGACTTATTATATGTATTGTGCGTGTGAAGATAGATAATAGGCTCAGTGTGGCTGACTTGTTAAGGTACTGGACGGGGACCCAGGAGAGATGGGTTCTGTTTTTCAGTAACTGATTTCATTTCTCTGTATCCCGGTTTTTCCCATCTTATCTTTTGTCTGTTCAGATTGCAGGCTCTTTTACAGCAGGGACTGCCACTCATTGTTTATATAGCATCTGGCACAGCAGAGCACCAAGGTCTGCTTAGCACTAAAATAACAAAATCTAAATCTGTGTCAGTAAAAACTAATACATCAGGTTTTTTTCTAATTACATAAAACGTCTCTCTTCAAATCGGTCTGAAACAGACTGAGGTGAAAGGGCTGATTACTGTGTTGATAATCAGCCTTTCTGTTTGTAGTAATAGGAGAGGACTTACAACTTAGCAACAGGTCTCTTAGCAACAGCATCTTGCTCCTCATGCATAAGCCCCTAGGTGGTGGCGTTTCCATTATTGGGTAGGTGTGTATATATATTTTTTTCTTTTAATGAAAAGAATGAATTTAGGTCTGGTGTTCTTTTTTTTGCATCTTCTACACATTTGTTTTAGGTTAGTTGGTGGAGTTTCAGCTGAGTCACAACAGTGTAACAGAAGAACTTTCCCTTCCTCCATGTTGCTTAACAAGCTTAAAAGGAGTATGAGCTAAGAATGGGTTCAAAAGATGTTAGAGTTATGGCCCACAGAGCCATTGGATCCAGCCCACAGATGTGGGGGTTTGGTGGTAGGGACATCTCCTGTGCTTTTCCCATGCTGTGGCAAGAAGAAAGGGTAACAGCTAGATCCTAGCACTTGCCTCTTCTGACTTGAGCTGGGTCATTCCAGGCTGCAGCTGGGAAGGATTGCTGACTGCCATGTTTGAAGTCACCAAGATTTGTCATTCTCTATGATCTTTACATTGTTGGTGGTCATTGTAAACACTGGTAAAGTAGTAATGGTGTTTGTCTTTTACTC